CTAACCCTAACCCTAACCCTAACCCTAACCCTAACCCTAACCCTAACCCTAACCCTAACCCTAACCCTAACCCTAAAATCGTAATATAATCTCTTATCCTTTTTATTTTATAGTAATAAATTAAGTATAATATTATTAAATATCGTTAATTATTATAAAATATATTATTATAGTTATTATTAAACTCTATAAGTTAAGAATACGACTTAGTTAGCTATAACGAGCTAGTCCGTATTTATATACCCTATCGTTTAATAACTATTAAAAAATCGACTAAAAAATAAATTAATATTAAAACGACTATATTTATAAAAGAATATAATATTATTAATATTAATTAACTCGTAATTAATCCTTTAATAAGCTTACTTATTTTTAACTCCCCGTAATAAATATAATACTTAAAATACTAATTATTAATAAACGTTAATTATAATTATTATAACCCCTATATCTTACTAATATTAAAAAAAATTTTATATAAAATTAATTTTCGGTAGGCTGTTGATGTAAATAATGACTGCTAGGGCACAATTAGCCTTCCTCTATAGCACAATAAACTTTGCCACGTTAACTTCACCCAAGGGGAGAGGTCAGTATACAATGAAATGCGGCAGCGAGCCATTGCAAAAATCGAAGAAGCGCTGCTACAGGATTCCGGGCTTGAAACATCAAACGTCTCCATATACCACAATGCCCTGCAGCAAATCGAGTCGTTGCGACTTTTTTGCAACCTAGGACTCGGGTACCACAGCAGGCATGAAAAAGTTACTCATTACTCGACCGAGAACTACCAGGACTGGACCCTTCACGCCCAGCAGCTCCTCAATTTGCAGTGGCAAAAGGGTCCGATTGTCTGTCTGTGGTGTTCTTCGACGCTCGACACGGACCAGACTATGACGAGCCATTCCGATGCCGCACAAGCTGGTCCTCGATACTCTCGATGTTTACAATTCTCTTGTAGCGACTGTGTGAAGAGATCCAGTCGAGCCGGTCGGACTTTGGCATGCGGCCACCAACCGCCGTGCCCCGTGGCTCCGGTTTCCACCAGTCACAGTGCCCTTGAAGAGATTCCAATATCGACTCCCCCCGACGCAATGTCAGGAGCTGGCTTGCCATCCAAGGTGAAAGCACTAGTTGCGGATCTGAACCGTCAACCGCCGGGCGTTAAGAGGTATGCTCTTTCGTGCACTCCATAGGTCGGAAATCCTGCTAAATGCTTCTAGCATCGTTTTTTCAACCTGGAAGATGACGCTTGACGTCGTTGAGCGGGCCTTGAACGAAGCAGGGAAGGCCAGCGTCCGATTTGACGGCAATGTACCTCAAAAAGATAGGCAGCCGCTGGTTGAGAAGTTCAGAAACGACCCGGGTGTCTCAGTCATGCTGTTGACGCTTTCATGCGGCGCAGTCGGGTGCGGAGCCCCTTTCAGCCATCCAATGATTTTCACTAACTGGATGCTCGTAGACTCACACTGACTGTCGCGTCTCGAGTCTATCTCATGGAGCCTCACTGGTAAGAACCATGGTAAAATTTGGGCTCGGCAATCTCACAACTTTGCGTGTAGGAACCCAAACCTCGAGGAGCAAGCGCTCGCTCGCGTGCACCGCATCGGGCAGACCCGCGAAGTGACAACAGTGCGTCTGTATGTGCGGGACTCTTTCGAAGTGGTAAGCTGATGCTGCAGTCACAGATGGAAGGGGGGGCGGGTTGATACTGACATCGTCTAGCAAGTAATGGAAGTGCAAAAGTCAAAGAAGCAGCTCGCTGGCCTGCTACTTTCGCCTCACGACGGCGGCCAGTCGGATGATAGCTTGAGCGGCCTCCAGGTAAGCGACTCAGGGAGGAGCATTCGGCTTGATTTGATGTTGCGAACTGACCAACCTGCTGCAGAAATTGAGGTCTCTTCTCTGAGAGCTGCTATATTATAATCTCTGGGACTAGTTACTAGGGGCGGTTCTTGATAGTGGCGGTTAACAGATATAGTGTGTTGTGAGCTTAGGGTATGTCTAAACTTAATGATTGTATCCTAGACAATATAGTGATTTTGCCTCCCTTATAAAACTTATACATATCCCCTTGTTATTTCAACAATGCTTAAAAGTAAAAAAATAAATAAAAATTCATAATCAAATTGCTTAATAATTAAAAAAAAATTTATAAGTAGTTTTTTTATAAAAATATCTTATAATAAATAAACATATTGTTTTAACTATGAAAAAACGTTGTTCCACGTTGAACAAATTTTCCTTCTTTACTAATTTCAAATAATTTACATACGAATAAGGATTACTAATTCTAGTATCTTTTATTAAATCTCAATATAATAAACACTACTAACACGATGCTGGGCTTATATTATATAGAACACATTACTAACGACCCCGAGAAGAAAGTTCTGCTTGCACTAATCGAACTTAGGTCTTATATAAACAGTTAAGACGAATACCAGTGGCAAAGTAAGGTCCGATAATTGGGATAAAGTCGGCGACAAAAGCAGAAACAGACTGGGCCTTAGAGCAACCACCGGTACCAATACCCTGTGAAGAGATTCTGGCCTGGTACGCATCAGCACGAAGCGACCCGTCACGGTTATAGACGTTCATGCGGATGATGCTTGGGAGCCAAGTACCCCATTTGAGACCAGTGCACTCCATGCCCGATAACGGACAGTCCTTGTTGTACGGGCAAGGCTTGCCCGATCTTCCTCCACATGCCGAGTCGGCTTTGTTTGGGGTTCCCTCTTGCCAGGTGAAGCCGTAGCAGCCGTTGTACACGGTATAACCGTTGTGCTTTCCAATGCCATTGGCTGTCTGCCACATGGAGTGGATCAGGGCGTCGCGCATCGACCAACCGCTGAGACGACCTACGGCTCCCCACTGACCGTCGAGGATAAATCTAGTGGTCACGCCGCCGTTTCCACCGTAGGGGCTGTTGCAGAACTTGCTCCATGCGTTGCGGGTGATGTCTGAGAGACCGCCCCTGTCGTCGCTGGAGTCGTACATGCGCGTCCAGAGCATGTAGAAGGTGTCGACATCACCGACGTTGACGAGGTTGTCAGTGTACATGCCGTGGACCTGGTAAATCCAGCTGTCTCTGGCTTCGAGGGCCTCAGTTTCATTATGGACAGAAGCAGCAGCGGCTTCCTGACGGGCAGCTTCTGCTTTGATGGCTTGGAGCCAGTGCTCACCGTCAGCGTCGTAAATGTTGGCGAAACCTTCAGGCTGTCGAAGCTCTTTAGATGGCTGAGCTTCGGTTGGAAGGGAGAAGACAAGAGGAAGGCTTGCGAGGAGGACAAGCGACGCTGAGGCGAACATCATAATGATCAAGTTGAAAGGCTTAAATGCTTGAACAAGTGAGGCTGTGATGAGAATATCAAGATGTCTGCGGTGTTCAATGGTCTATATATATCCATCTACATTATATCCCACCTCCCACGCGACAGTATCACCAGTCCTACGCGTATTTGATAGTCATTATCATCTTCATGATAGGCATTATTCATACTATCACCAGGCTAAGCTTGTCCTGATCATGCACCTGACTCAACTCAGAAGCTGAATGGAGACGATCGTCAAAGGTTGTACTAAAGAGATAACATAACTTCACGAGCCACTCTGATAAGGAAAGCGTTTGCGCGAGTATCCTCAATCCGAACAAGCAAGTTCTTCTGGAACTATTCCCGCAGCGAGTCAGCACCCAGTATAAACACTATGTCACCAAAGCTTGTGGCTTCAAGTTTCATATCTTTCCACAACTCAGGTTTCAATGTCGACGAGTCACCGCATATCTTTTCGTATATAAGGTTCATACCATTTGTGGAGCTAATAGATAGAGACTCGGCAAACCAATTATGATTGTGAAATGTCTGTTTAAACTTCAGGTCACTTTCCAATTTCTATTGGTAAGGGATCCATCCTTCGATTAAACATTCTAGAAGTTGGCAGGGTTCAGCTGTGCCTTAGCGGCGGCTTTGCCGGCAATGCGGCGTTGGGGACTTCGGCAGTCGAGAGGAGCTAAGCCTTTTGAGGGGAGCTGAAATTAAAGGAATGGCTAGACGAGATTGGGTCTTATGATAAGCTAGCGGGATAACGATTTGAGCTTAAATAGGCTAGATCTGGGAGTGGAGAGATTCTGATACTTGAAAACAGTTGATATAATTAATTCTTTCTTGAAAGAGGAATGATCTGGGTTTGCAATCCTGTCTGGAAATCGATTCTCTCGTCCTTTATGCACACTAATATCATGCGTTTCTCAACACTCCTGTCACTCGTTACCCTTGCTGCTCCCACACAATGCGTCAAACTCCGTAGAATAGAGTTCACTGTCCTGATATCTTCAAGACCAGCGCTTATCTTGTTTACAGCGGACGGTTGTAAAGAATGTGACAGAGTGCAAGGAGTCCTAGACGGGGTGTCTGCAGCGCTCACCAAGACCGCCATTGCTTCTGTCAACTGCAACGAGGAGCCGACTGTGTGCGATGACTCTCAGGTCTTTACTGTCCCCACGTTGAAGTTTACAACCGGCAACAAGGAGTTAATCACTTACAAAGAAGCTTTAGACGCGTCATCGTGAGTTTCGTCGGTTTTTCTGTATTGCTTGTGGGTCATTGATCATCGTTGCAGGGTTGTGAAATATATTGAGCGACAATCAGGTTCTCCAGTTAAGGGTCTTACCGAAGAGAACCATCTCGATTTCGCGCGCTCATCTCGAGTCACAGTCGTTGCCTTTCTTGGCTCGGATCATCAATCCGAGCTCAAGACCTTTGACACTGTTGCTGCTAAGTGGCGAGCGCATTACAGTTTTGGCATCGTTCATAGCCTTGAAAAAGACAGGAAGGGCCCTTCCATCGCGGTCTATACCCAAGAGGAAGAGAATCCAGTTTACTACCGCGGGCAATTCACCGTCGCAGCTGTTCAGGCCTTCTTGCGGGATGCAACCCAGCCGCTGATTCGCGAATACGATCCTGTCGTTCATGAAGAAGCCAAAAAGGTAGGCCATTCTTCCCTAACGTTTGATATCGACTAACCGTTCAAGTATGGGAAACCATTGGCCCAAATATTCGTCAGCAAGCGGGATGATCGTGCTGAGATCGTCAAGGCACTGGCTCCTCTTGCAAAGAAGTACAAGGATCAACTCACCTTCTTGTCAGTTCTTGCGCCAGATTACCCCAAAATATGTGAGCAGATGCATCTTAGCAAGAATATCAAGCGTGGGTTCGCCATCGCAAGTCAACAAGAGAGAGCATATCCTATGTCTGAAGAAGTGTTCAACGCCAAGAGGGTCGCTAAACATGTCTCTGCTTACATGGCTGGTTCATTGAAACCTACCATCAAGTCAGAACCAGTGCCTGAAGCGTCAAAGTCGCACCCATTTTTGACAACGCTAGTTGGCAGTACTTTTGAGGACTTAGCTTATGACAAGTCTAAAGATGTCTTGGTTGAATTCTACGTGCCATGGTGTCAATACTGTACCGAGTAAGTTGATCATATCTGTACGCCATCGAATGCAGTACTAACAAGCCAAACAGTCTGCACACTCCAATGAATGAGCTTGGTTTCAAATACACCAAGCTTGGGCTGTCGGACAAAGCTGCCCTAGCAACTATCAATGTCGACGCGAATGATGTGCCAATCGAAATAGCATCATATCCATCAATCAGGCTATATCGCGCCGGTTCGAATGAGATTGTAACTTTCCAGGGCAACTTCACTGAGATGTTGACAGTGGAACAGCTGGATGCTTTTGTTTCACAGAGTGGAAGTCATGGAGTTAGTGTATTTAGTCAGAGCGAAGCCCATGACGAGCTATAGTATTAAGATAAAGAATTATACCGAGGAGCTCATACGCAAAACTTTAGCATGATCTGTTACTTGCGGACTTTTCAATCCTCGATGTTGATATGACTGCCTTGCGGGTGACTATCAGTTACCCGATGCTGCAAAACTTGTACAACAGCGGCCAGCTGAGTGGCTGTGCCAGGCCACAGCGTGGGTCATTCAGTGAGGGGCATCTCACGGTCTTCTCCACAAGCACATTCAGATGAATGTTTGCTGCATAGCTCTAACGAATCTGAACTCTCTATTTCCTTCATATTGTTCTCAGACTGTTTAATGTGGACTTTGAGACCCAAAGCTGAGGCCGAGTCCTCCAGGCGTCACTCAAAAGATCGTTGCCATGGCTTCGAAGCTCCAACAGCACTGAGAACCCGTTCATTGCTAAATCGGGTACTATACCAACTTCTTACAATTTTATTGAACTCACGTACTTTCTTACATGTAGCCAAGTAACTATATGCGAAGTTTCGCGATAAGCCTTTTACCAATCATCTTTAGACCTTACCAACTGATATTGAAGTATACAGAGGAATCGTTCCCGGCGCTCAAGTTCTATAGAATCACATGTCCGTGGTCTTTTAAGCAATCGATTAGTCTTTAAACGGGATAGAAATACAAGAGTTCCTCTGCCTTTTTTAGTCGACTTGGAACGGGGACTTTTTGATGAAAGGTTGCTAGGAAACTGAGAAGTTCGCGCATGTGTCAAGCACCGGGGCCGGGTACTACTTATTGTGCCACGGCTGTCACCTTGTAAATAACCGCTGATCAATGTCTGAAGCGTGAAAGAGAGGTTCACTGCGACTATCGAGGTTGCTCTTGGGGTCAAAAACGACCTCGCAGTTCCGTCAGGCGCGTTCGAGGAATTTAACTAGGAAGACAGTTGTAGACTCGCCGGAGCTATCTAACTCCAGATCGGATAATTAGAGTTGCCTACTTTATGATGCTGTATATTTTCTTCGCGATAAGAGGGTAAATCACATTCCGATTCAGCTATAGGCAGGTACGGTTTATAGAAGCACAAACTCACGCTTCCAACTTATAGCGTAAAGCTTGCAAGTCAAAGCGTCCGCAGGGGCTTTAACCTCGAGGTTTCCAGACATTTACTACGCGGATGGTCGTTGCTGTCCTGGCATACCTTGGACTGGAACCCCGCTCCATCTTGCAGCCATGGCCGGTAGTGCTGGAATCACCCAACTGATAGTGCGACAGGTTTTGGAAGCCAATGCAAGCGCGGACTCCTTTGGCAATGTGGCTGATGGCCACTGGTACTCATCATCGTCGAAAGATGGTCCTACGGCGTTGCATAACGCTGTGAGCACGAACTGTGGTGCCGAGACACTATGTGAATTGACAAAAGAGAAGGTTGGAAATTGCCTCTATGTTGATTGAGCGTGATGCCAGCGTTGAAGGGTGGTGAATCGCTTCCAGCTTCGAGACATTGCGAAGTTTGAGGACTTTCCGCAGTTGTGGGATACGCTGAGAGAAGGCATAGCAATCATTGACAAAAGGGGAGTCACTGATGAAGAGTCGAACACCGAGGAAGATGATGTCACTAACGAGGAAGATTTCACTAATGAAAAGGTTGCCACTCACAAAGAGGAGGTCATTAGCGAAGAGAAGGTGATTGGCGAAGAGGAAGTCACTGACGAGGAGGAGGCTAATAACCAGGAGTGGATCATCGATGATGAGTAGTATTACAGCCAGCTAGTCGTAAGAGTGTGTTAACAGAAGTTGAGGCTGCGAGAACTTACAACAGTCCTAGTCGATGTCATTATCCGATGACATAATCGATGATTATTACAAATCGCGGTGGGATAGCTTCCTAAAAGCCATGTCTGCATCTCGCGGCGTTTGGTAAGGCTTTGGTAATTATTCATAGTCTTGTCAAGAGATTCGAAGTTCGATAGCTGAAAGCGATTATAAGATCCGATACCAAAATAATTGCTGAAGAAGCTATGGGAAGTCAGTCTCTAGTCTACCACCCGCGAGGGGCCGATTGAACACAATACGTCTCATTGGTTGCATACAGTCGCACAAAGCTTTGCATGCCTGGCAGATATGGCGGGCATGTTCTGAACTTGTGTCGGGGTTCGTACGGTCTCCCATCCCATGTGTGCAGAAGTCTCCCGAGCCGGGTTCGATAAGGGTCATTAGGCAAAGCGCCGTCACTCACATTTTCAGGTTGGCTTTCACTAGTAAGATTATATGGTGAACGAACGCCATGGAACGAGTCGCAAGCATGCGTCGTGGCTCCAAGCTCTTCCCGCCGACCATGTTGCTACTGCAGGGTTGTGGCTCAGAAGACCACACTACAGACGATAGAAGACATGAGTGAAAATACTACACGGGATCCAATTTCGTTGCCATCCAGATGAACTGTCCCAATTCGTCGTGGTTCAGACACCAATTTTCGAAATTCGCCACCCAACCCTCAAGAGGTAAGGTGTCTTCCGCACGCTGGGCGTACTCCCGAAGATGAGAAACTTTAAGGTTATCTTTGAAGTCCCGTTGCGATAGTTGTTCAAGATATTGTTGCTGCCATTCGATATTTGCCTTAGCTAGCCAGAGGCTGCGTGTGCTCGGGAGGTGTACAGTTCTGCACGTCGCCCCACCATGCCCGGAAGAAGGACATATTGCTATGCTGAGGAGCTCATTTAATGCGTAGCAAAAGCATATTAGTCTAGGTAGAGGTAATGGTTTGTCAATAGAGAGCACATTCATTCGGCCATAAGGTATGTATATGACTAACCTCCCTACGCTTTCGTTAATGATCCATTCGTGCCGGTTGGGAATGCTATGATGCTGCGTATAATTGGCTTCATCTCGAGCCTGCATCATTGTATAAGTCATAGTCTATAGATTCAAGCAAGCGTTGAAGTGAAGTCAGCGATGAACGTGCATGAAACCTGCCGCGCAACAGAGACATACGCCCAAGGTAACAGTGATTGATCTGAGATAGTGCTCCGGGATAGATGCGACATCTTCGACATGGAGTATGGTATACAACGTGACGGCTTGTACGGCAGCAATTAATTTCTTCCTATCGTAAGACTCATGCTTTGCAATGATTGTGATTAGTGTCTGAAAACCTTTTCTGGTGCCATGACCCATCTTCGATGAATGAGATGCAACCTACCTCGTGAAAAAGCTTTTGCTGCTCCATGTAGATGGTCTTCCATGCAAAAGATCTGTCTCCAAGACCGTCTCTGGGAAACATTCGAACTATACTAGCACATGTAGCTAATGGCTGCGGAAGACATTGATGGACTCCAGACTGCTGGCACAGAATCTCGTCGCCAAAGCACGGCGAGCTAATGAAAGGAGGTAGATTGAGATCATTGATCAGCATTGCAGGATACTTCCGCATATTTCCCAGCATCATTTTCGAGGTGAGCGAGGCTTCCGTAGTTTTGTGTCTACGCGGCCGAAGTAGGTGGGTGACGTCGACAAGCATGCTGAGCTCAAAATTGGCTCTGATCGAGATTTGTGTGTTGATGTCGGCAATTATATTGGTAACAATGTCAGGACTCATGTCGGCTATCGGATCCGTGGGTGTCAACCTCGGACAGTTGCTCAGGACATCATCGGTCCAAGACGTGTCATTGATAGTGTTCGCAGACTCGGCAGCCCATTCAAAATCTCCGATATCACCAATGGTATCGGTGGCCTCGAAAACGCGAGCTACTTGGCGATCATTAAGCTCCCTTATACTAGTTGCAATCGCCGTCTCAACGCTTGGAATATTTTGCGGCGATACTCCAAAAATATTTCCAGTAGTGCACAACTGTGGACTCCGAAGTTGTCGACAATCCTTTTCAAGGTAAAAAGTCGTCTTGGACATAGGGGAGTAGCAGCAGGGCCAATTCCGTTGCTCACACCGGGAGCAGCGGGGCTGTTTCCGGTCACAGGCTAGTTTCGACGACCTACATTGGTGACAAGACTTTCGACGGAAGTTGGGCATCCTCACGCTGGGCCTGGTGGTGCCTCAAATCGTTTGGCGTCGGGATGACGAGACTGGTTAAACGAAAATCTGCCACAAGACAAGAACAGGATTGGCAATCTAGGCGCGGCTCGTCACGTGCGCTATCCCGTGATTCTAGAGGTAGCTCCCTATACCCTTCGGTTTTGTTGATTCTCTTCATCAGGCCAATGAAAGCTACTTTATCCCACTCCATATGTCCATTGCTGCGTATAATACCTTGAGTCGTAACAAAATCAATCGTCACCGGCGCGTTTATCTGAGGCGTGTTGGAATATTTCACCCAGAAAAACTGGGCTAGTCCGCAAATGCCGCCCATGTTCGCTTTGGCAAAACCGCTGCCACCATTTACTGCCCGCTCCGGCTAGAAAGGACACACCATAGATCCAGACCCAACTTACTAAACATGTTGAGATATAGGTCGAGCTACTTTCCACCGCACAAGGTTATCGGAACATCACAAAGGGGAAGACTTCCCCTCGTCGTGCGCAGTCCGGCAGGTGGGTTCAATCTCGGCTTTTCGCCACATATGATTGGTCCTGCTTGAATCGAAAATCCGACTGCGACAACTTGCTGCACAGACTCTCGGCTTTTCAAAGAGCGATATGCTTGTTCGGCTGCGCGAGGAGCCAGATCTCCTTGGGTTGCGTGGATACTGATAACTTGTCATATGGCTAAAGCACAGCTGTAAATGGAGTTAAGGGAGCACATTAACGTTTCACCCGCAATATCATCAGCTCCGAGTTCCCGTGGAAGTTCCCGTGGAAGAGAGCACTAAAGTCCGCATGGAAGCTTATAAGAGAAGCACGAAGTGATGAAATCACAAGAGATCTGGTCTGCATCATCATCCTCGTCCAGAAACAAAAACTTCATATTCCTTCAAACGTAGTCTAGAATTTATCTACATCTTCTCGGCCCTACAGTTCACGATGACTGCTATCAACTCAATTACCACCAAATACAAAACTGAGCGAGATAAGAGATTCATCGCCATCTCTGGCAATCAAGGAGAGCGCATCAACTTTAGGACTAGTTCCTTGATGAATGACTTTTGTCGTGACCCTTGGGCCGACTACGACACCCTCGCCAAGGAACCTCCGCCTTTGAGTGATGGCTCCGAGACCCGTTTCCTGATCCTTGGTGCCGGCCATAACGGCATTCTTTTTGCCTACCAGTTGGTCGCGGCTGGATTCAATCCGGCCGACATTGTCATCATAGACGAGGCCGGCGGCTTTGGCGGCACCTGGTACTGGAATCGCTACCCGGGCCTGACCTGCGATGTTGAGGGCTATTGCTACTTGCCACTCCTGGAGGAGACAGGATTCGTTCCGAAGCATCGCTACTCGAAGGGTCAAGAGATCCGTCAGAACGTTGAGCAGATCGCAAAAAAGTATGGAATTAAGGGTATGTTCTGTACCAAGGCAAAGAGCGCTCAGTGGGACGACGGCCAGAAGCGTTGGATTGTCACAATGAGCCGCAACATGGGCCCGAAATATCAGCATCTCAATGGCGATTTCGTCGTCCGGACACAATTTCTCATGCCCGCTGGCGGCCTCTTCTACTCGCCTAGCGCACCTGATGCTCCTGGTCTCAGCGTATTCGTGAAGAATCGGGAAATCTTCCACACGGCTCGTTGGAACTACGAATACACCGGCGGATCTCAGACCCAACCTGAATTGGTTAACCTCAAAAACAAGAGAGTGGGTATCATTGGTACCGGCGCGACGGCTGTCCAGGCTGTCCCCGAGCTGGCCAAATGGTCGAAGCACCTCTATGTGTTCCAACGCACGCCCTCATACTGCGGACCAAGAAAGCAAGTCGAGACGACCCCGGAAAGCTGGGACATTGTAGCTGGCCGGCCAGGCTGGCAGGCTAATCGGATGAGAAACCTCAACAAGTTTCTTAACGACCACCCAGAGGTAGCTCCTGTCGATGACCTCCTCAAAGACGGATGGAGTAATGCACGCACTTTCGCTGGACTCATTGGGAGCCCCCGGGCGAAAGATATCACCCCCGAAAACGTCCCTCAGCATCTCCAGCGGATGCTGGAACTCGACGCGGGGATCTCAACTGAGCTCCGCAAGCACGTCGAGCGTGAGGTGGACGACCCGGAACTAGCTGAAAAGCTGAAGGCCTGGTACCCCGGCTGGTGCAAGCGTCCGACATTCCACCAAGATTACCTCAAGTCTTTCAACCGTCCCAACGTCACACTCGTTGACACTGATGGTCAGGGTATCTCTGGCTATACTGAGAAAGGTGTTTTGGTCGGTAAGGGCGACTTGGTCAAAGAGTACGAGGTTGACGTTCTCGTACTTGCGACAGGTTTCGCAACGACGACTGCCGTCGATGGAGACCCAGCCCAAGTACTCAACATGCCAATCCGGGGCCGCAACGGTCGCGATCTGACGGAGAAATGGCAAAGCGACAAATTCGCCACCTTCATGGGCGTGGCTACACACGACTTTCCCAACCTACTCTTCTTTACCGCGAAGGGTGCCACCTCCTCGGCAAACACGACCTACCCGTACACGGTGGGATGCAGATTGGTCGCTCACATCGCCAAGACTGCCTGCGATCATGCTTCCGATATCAATAGGGTTGAAGTCGAGGTCAGCGAGGAGGCGGAGCAAAGTTATACGGAGAGCTTGAAGCCTTACGCTCCGTGGTATGCCCCTGTAGCATCCTGCACCCCAACGTACTTTATGGACTACAA